AATAAAAAAATAAAAAAATAACCTTAAGAATTGAAATCTTTTTATTTTTTTTTTTATTTGAAAGACCAAAAAGGAACATTCAAAAAAAAAGTAAACAAGAAAACTAGTTTACCAAATAGAGGTAATATGGGTATGATTAAATAATTTTTTAGTTTTAATTTGTTTTTCATTTTAATTTTCAATTTTTAATTTTTAATTTTTTAATTTTTTAATTTTTTTAATTTTTAATTTCATTTTGGTTTTTTATTTTTATAAATGGTTTTAATTTTTATAATAATAAATAAATAAATTATAATTTTTTTTTTATTTTTATTTATTTTTTTTTTTATATTTTAAATATTAAATAAATAATTATACAATAATAAATTATAATACTATTTTTTTTATTATTATTTTTTTGACAAGTTAATTATAATATGTAATTATAATAATATAAAATATAGAAAAAAAAATTGGGCAATGGTGATTTCTTTTTAGTGCCTTTATTAAATACAACAATAATAATAATAATAGTTTTAAGATAAATTCAAAAAGCAAAACTAAATCAACCATAACAAAATAATATCATGGTTATTTTTTTCTTTTTTTAAAAAATTATTATTTATTTTTTTTAATTTTTTTTAATTTTTTAAAAAAACCTTTTGCATATCTCTCTCACGATTTTCAAATATTAACATAACACCCAATAACAACAATAATAATATTATTAAAAAAAAATTTATGGTTAAAATTCTAATATAAAATTTTTTTTAAAAACTTTTTTATTCATTTTTTATTTATATATACAATTTTTTTAACAACAAAGATGAAAAATTAACACAGGATAATAATAATAACAAAATAAAACATTACAGCCAAGAAAATTATAATATAAATAGTAATATGATACCTTCAATTACCTCATCTCCTTTAAATCAAAGAAAAAATAGTTACATAAATAATAATAATAATAGTAATAATAATAATAACAATATTAATGAAAGAAATCAACAACAGGAAAAAAAGCAACAAAATGCTTTAGAAAGAGTATGGAATCTATTTTTTTCTTTAGACGGAGCAAATAATAATAATAATAATAATAATAATAATAATAATAATAATAATAATAATAATAATAATAATAATAATAATAATAATAATAATAGCCAAAATGTAAATATTAACAATATAAAGGAAAGTGACAGTTCAAAATCATCAATTTATAAAGACGATAATCAAAAATATATTTTAAAAGAAGATCAAAATGGTAGGTTTTAATTTGGATTAAATTTATCATCAAAATATCAATTTATTGGATTATTAATAAATTATTATTGTTTTTATTTCTAGATAATGAAGGATCATCTCCAGCTTCAGCCTCATCAGTATCAACATCATTGAATTCATCAGATAGTTATTTAGCCTCCTCATCTAAAAATAATATAATACTGGATAATAAACAGGAACTTTATAATCAAATTAAAGAAAAAAATGAAGATGACGAAGAAGAAGGAGAGGATAGAATATGGAATTTATTCTTTTCTTTATCAATAGATCCACCAATTAAAAATCAATCAAATAAAAATAACAATAGCAATAGTAATAATAATAATTATAATAATAATAATAATAATAATAATAATAATCATAATAGGAACAGTATAAAATATAATAAACTAATTATTGAAGATAAAAACAATAAAAAGATTGAAGATAGCAATAATTTTAATATACAACAAAGATCAACAGAGAATATTTATAAACCAATAATAGAGATATCAGATGAGGATAGGTCAGATCATAAGGAACTATATGAAGATGATGAAGAAGATTATAAACAGGATGATGAAGAGCAATCAAAAGAATCAAAAAAACATTTAGAAACATCAAGTGCTGAAGTTGTTAAAAGTATTTTTGAAAAATCACCATTTTTTGAACCAACTAGACCAGTTGTAGATTATTCAGATCCAGTATTTTTAGAACCTATTGAAAGTAAACTACCAGGAAATTTAGAAAAGAATAAGCATCTTTATGAAAACATTAAACCAAATCCAATACCGCTTTCAGTAATTTTAACTGGTATAACTGTTAGAGATTTAGAAGGAAACGAAGTATTGGTTACAAGTTTATATGAAAATAAAAGAATCGTTGTTGCCATTTTTCGTAGATTTGGCTGTTTAATTTGTAGATTGCAAGCTTTGGATCTCTCAAGTCTTAAACCAAAATTAGATAGAATGGGAATCGAATTGGTTGGTATTGGTTTTGATGAAGAAGGTATAGATGAATTTATCCAATATAAATTCTTTGCTGGCAAAATTTACATAGATAAGAATAGACAGGTCTATCGTGCATTAAATTTAAAGAGAAGAAGCAAATTAACCACCTACGAATTGTTTTTAGACCCACGTGTAATGACCTACTATAGAAGAATGAAAGAGTTGGGTTTACCCTCAAATTATAGAAAAGATGGCTTTCAATTGGGTGCCACTTTAGTTTTGGGCCCAAGACCACAAGAAACACTATATGATTTCCGTCCACAACGTTATGCTGATATCTTTGATCTTAAAGAAATTTGGGCTGCTTGTCAAACTCCTTATCCTGAAGAATCAGAAATTGGCAATATAAAGAAATTGGATTTAACAATTCCAAAACCAATTGCATTAAAATGTGAACCTATTAGTTTCAATTTAACAGCATCACCATCATTATTACCAGTACCACCATCATCAGATCAACAAGAACAATCAGAGCAAATACAAGCAAAAGAATCAAGTGGCTATAGAGGAGGCCTATCAAATATATCATTCAAGTTATCAGATAATGTATATCTCAATTCTAAAAAAGAAAGTAATCGTAGTAGATACAATGATGAAGATGATAGTGAATATTATGATGATGAGGATGATGAAGAGTATTACGATGAAGATGATGAAGAGTATTATGAAGATGATGAAGCAATGGAGGATTATGACAGTGAAGATGAAGGTATTCAATTACCTAAACCATCAGAGGATAGTATTAAGCTTTTACAGCTTTTAAATTCTGTTACTGTTGACCCATCATTATTTAGTTCCGTTTGTGATAATACTGTAATATTCAAACCACCATCCCTAGCATTAGCAGACCAGCCAATAGACCAACAACCATTACAACCATCACCAATAGTTTCAACCTCTCAAGAACAGGAATATATCGATAAAATTAATAATACAGAATACAATAACAACTATGGTTCATACTATAAGCCTTCTAAATCATCACTCTTTATAATGAAGGACAAGGATGAAGAAGAAAATCAATTAATCTATTGCCCATATAAATTCCATGGTTAAAATTAATTATTAATTAAAATTTTCTTTCTATAATACTGTTGTAAAAAAGAAATTGTAATTTTATATAGTTAATTATTTTATTATTAAATATATATGTTACTAAATATTTGTAATAATCTTCGTCTACTATTATATATATATAAATAATATTAAAAGATAAGACATATAAAGTATAAAACCTTCATACCTAAACTGTTTGCAAAATAAATTAAAGACTCTTTTGAAATGTAAATTAAAAACCTTTATACAAATATTAACTGTGTGATTAACACCCTTTATTTATATTGTTTTGTGTGATTAAAGTTAAATTAATTTTTTAATTTTTAATTTTTAATTTCATTTATTATAATTTAATTTTATTAATAACATGTTAGAATCCGAGATATCTAACACTCTCCCCTTCTTGAATAAGGGCTTATTGTGGAACATTTCTTCCGAGAGAAGTTCTTATTCTTTTACTTGTAACATTCTGCCTATTTGATACATCCACTTGTGGGTTATGTATATCCTTGCTGGCATCTGAAGTAAACTCTTTATCGGTTGACTTGTTGTTATCAATTGTAGAAATTCCTTTGTGAATTTTTGATGAAGCTTTCAAGTTATTTCTTTTCTGTTTGTGAGTAATTACATTTGTAATGTCAGGACTGGGAGAGATTGAATTCTTAATATTTGATTCCATCTTCTCCTTCCTCCACTTTTTAGAATTCAATTTATCCTTGTTCGCAACATTCAATTTGTATTCTTCCATGAGATCTGGGCATAACATATCTTCTTCGTTTACCCATTCCGGTTCTAAATAACCTTCAAATCTAACTAAAAATCTTTTCTTATTTTTATCATGGTTCAAAATTACTCAACTTAATCAAATTCAATCATTTTCATTTGGAAATTAAAGTGAAAATAAAGAAATCAATAGTAGTAATGACTCCAGAAGCACTAGCAGTTTTAGTAGTAACGAACCCAGCACACCCAGTAGTGATAGTACATATTTTCATGGTTTTGATTTAGATCCCCGAAAAAGTTAAAAGACCACCTGTTTGTAAAAACCAATAGAACATAAATAATTATAATAATAATCATTTTATTTTATTCAAATAATCAAAATAATTAAATTAACAATAAACAATCAGACAAAAAAAATAAAAAATTGATATGTAGTTCAATTTAATTATTATCAATTCATAATTTATATAAATATATCTATTTAAAACAAAAAGTATATATTTAAAAAAAAATTAGTATAAATAAATTTAATAGAGCTCTTACTCTTTTGAAACCTTTTTTTTATAAATTAATTTTTTTTTTTGTTCATTTTTTTACATTTTTTTAAATTTTTTATTTTTTTCATTTTTTTCATTTTATTTTTATTTCCCACCGAAAATGTAAAAAATATTTAAAAGTATTGATACATATGACGTTGGTTTTACTAAAAGCATATTAATAGCGTTACCAAGGCTATTCGAAGTAAGACAACAACTTCAACTACAACAACAATTCTATACAAAAGGAGATTATAAAAATAAAAGTAGTAAAAAAAATAGTAGTAATGATAATAACAATAAGCTAAATAATAAAGATAATAATAAAGTTAAGCTCTTAAATAGGTTTAAACAACTAAAGGAACAATTAACATCTCAAAAAAAAGATGAAGCAGAAAAAGAAAAAGAAAAACAGATACTAACTATAAATAGTGTTAATAGAGCCCCATTTAAATTTAAAGAAAATTCATCATTTACAGAAAAATCAGATCATAATCAAAAAGAAAGGAACAACCACCATCATCATTTAATAACACAAGTAGATTACCATTTAATTTAAAGGCAACTACATCATTTACAGAATAGATTAATCACCAAAAGCAAGAAGATCTAAACACAGTTTTAAAAGAAAAGAAAAAACTACCATCTATATTAAATAATGATAATGAAACCCCCTCATTTAAATTAAACCTACCAATTACAGAAAAATCAAACCATCATCAAAACGATACAACTACAGTTTTAAAAGAAAAGGAACAACCATCATGATTTAAATAATGCTAATAGATCTCTATTTAAATTAAAAGTGAAACCAACATTTACAGAACAACTTAATAATCATCAACTTCAACAAGAGGAGATAGATCTGGATCAAAAGCAAGAAAAGATATATGAACAGGAGGAGCAAGAAGAGGAGCAAAATAAACTAGAAGAAGAACAAAAGGAGGAAAATGAAAATAATTTATTAGAACAACAAACAAACCAAAACACCCAGAGCAGCAATTTAGCAAAAAAAAATTAAAAAAATTAAACGATAGCACTAAATGGGTTCAATGGCTCTGGGTGTGCAATGATAGATGCCCATGGTACTTTAGCAATTAATGAAGAAGGAAGAGTTAAGTTAAATATTTCACAACAAAATGCAGACCATAAAAGCTTCATTGAAATGAAGACAAAATTAACTGGTAAAATTAAAATCGATGAAAAAACAAATACTATTAGCTTTTTATTAAAGGATGTCAATAGTGGTATTATTAGAGTTATGAATATTGGTAATTTTAGAAACCCAGAAATTATATAATATCAAATATAGAGAACAGGAGAAAATATCCCCAACCAATGGCTGGGTAGTTGGAATGTACGAAGCTTTATGCCATGCCCATATAAATATGAAAGAACTCCCTTTGACTTTAACATTTGAACATGACAACTATGAAATTATGAAGAGATTATCAAAAGCATTAAAAGGTAGATTGTCCCAAAATGAAATAACAGGTAATATAAAGTAGTTTTTAAAGGCCTTTAAAAAAACTGTGCCTGAAAGATTTTTACTTTACTTTAAAAGAAAATCGACCAAACTCAAGAAATCATATAAAGTGACAATAGATCCACCAATCGAGCCACCAAAACTTAAACCAGATAGAGAATCAGATTTTTATAATAAGCAATATCAAGATGAAAAATTAAATATTTGGAAACATTTTATTAAAGAATATGATAGAATAACAAAGGAAGAAAGAGTAAATTCAAGAAAATACAGATTCCAAAATAAAATAAAATAATTAAGGAAAATGAAGATAATGAAGATGACGAAGATTATGAAGACAATGAAGACATTGAAGATTATGAGGATAGCAAACAAAGATAATAGTGTTAAAAATGTTAATATTTAAAAAAACCAATAAAACTAAATATAAATATTGTATATTTATAATATAACACATCAATAACATTGGTTTATATAATACTAAATTAAAAAAATAAATAAAATGAATATAATATAAAAAAATAAAAAAATAATTTTATATTTTTAAAAAACTAAACTTTATTATATTTTTATTTGATTTATTTGATTTATTTGATATATTTAATTTATTTATTATTATTAAGAGCTTTATAGTTTTAATTTCTTTCATTGAAACCCTGCATCGATTGACTTCTGGTATATCGCTCTTGGTCCATAAACTACCACTTTAATCAATCTGATGTTTGTATATTGTGATGTATATTATAGTATAAATATTCTTAATTAATGAATAAAAAAAAAATTGAACCACTTTGCATTTTTACTTTTGTGATTTTATTTTTTAAAGAATGAAATACATCATTATAATTGAGTTGTTATTTAGAAAAAATAAAAATAAAAAAAAAAAATTATAATTGTATACAATTTAATTTATTAAAAATAATTATAATTAATTCATCCCATTTTATAAATATAATTTGTCTTATTATTATTAATTAATTAGTTTATAATAACTTAAATTTATTTAATATTATACTATATTAACATTATAATCATTTAAATTCATATGATTTTGACCTAAATTTAATTTTTTTTTTTATTTTAATTTATTAAATTTTTTTTATAGTAATTGCCTGATTAGTTATATATTTTTTTTTTTTTTTTTTTTATTTAAAGAAGAGGAGTTGTCTTTTTTAATAATTAATTACAATAATGATCTATTGAAGAAATTAAAAAAATAAATTTGGTTTTGTTTAAAACACTGTTTTTAAAAATTAAAAATTAAAAACACTGTTCTTAAAAATTAAAAATTAAAATTTTAATTTTTTAATTTTTTTTTTAATTTTTAAATGGTTTTCATAGCTTTTTTCAAAACTAAAATATTAATTATCTTTTATTTTTTTTTAATAAATTATAATTTTTTAATTTTATTTTTTTTTTTTTAATAAATTTTTTTTTTTCTCTTCACTCACACTCATTGCATTTTATATATACACAAATCAACATTTATTTATTTTATTCCTCTTCACACATCCTATACACACATCTTTATATATATTATATATTCATATTTTATATATTTACATTTGGTAATTATTTTTTTATTTTTTTTTTTATAAAATATTAAATAATCTTATTTTTTTTTTTTTGTAAATAAATCTAATTTTTTTATTTGGATATTTTTTCTTAAAAAAAAAAAAAAAAAAAAAAAAGTTAAAATGGCAGAACCACAAGCATCTCCAAATTCACAATCAACACCATACCCAAGTAACTTTGCCCCCGCATACCGTTATAAATTAAATCCACCACCACTACCAAAACCAGCACCAAAACTAAAACCAATTCCAATTTCACCAACAATACCAAACTCACCATACCCATTCACTTTTTTTCCTTAATCCATATGTGAAAAGGTTTTTACATTTACCCCATATTTTTTAACAACACAATAAGAAACCATGTAAACTACAAATTTTGAATTAATTGGATCTCCAACTTATAAAAAAAAAACAACAACCCATTGATTTGGCGGACCCCCACTCCTTGTTGGGAATCAACTCTGTTAACTATTCCTATGCCATCTTCTATCTGGGCCTGAGGTGAAATGGTCCACCGAAAACGAGTACATGGAGTTGACATAATCCAAGGTCATTGACTGAAGTGGTGACATTGAGTCACAGCATGTAGGACTAAAATCATCTGTATTAATAAAAGAATTTGGATTGCACTTTCTGTAAACTGTAAGGATATTATGGGGTCTTTCTGAGTATACAGCTTTT